GTGGGGGATCGCCAATGTGAAGTGGGGGGATGTAGCTCGATGATCAGTTAAGGGGCGCTAATTCGCAAAATAAGGTGATTTTAGGTGATTTTTAACTACTTGACCTTGATTTGAAACCTGAATTAGTAGAATCTTAGGTAAGCATGTGGTTAACATAAGCAAGAATTTAGTCCAATTAAACTGTTTATCATCTTGATACCTTCCGACGAAAATTGACCCTACCAGCGTCACCACGGCGTCCCCACCGATCGATCTAACGTGACGTTGTTACGTGGGTGTTTTATAGATTATTGAGAATGGTAATATCACCAAAAAAATAGATAAAATGACAGTTAAATGTCCAACAAAGACAACTAAAGACAATAGTTCGTTATTAGAAGTTATTTAGTATAACTTTATTCGGAAAATTAATCTCAGAATCGAGTTGCCGTCCCCGGCGTTATTAGTGACGTAGTATGATTTGTGTGCGATTTTTACCAATTAACCCCTTAATAAAAAATATTTGAGCAATGTAGTACCTTGCAAATCAACCCAGAAATCCGGTAGTTTGTTGATTGTTTATTGGTAGCGTCCTTTCGCTGCCAAGTTTTTTGGCAGTTGCGTCCGGTTGACATCCCCTTTTCAAATGTTAAAAAATAATCAACATAAATGTTAAGAATTAAAGTTCCATTCTCCAACTTTATCTCATGCAGCCACAAACATGACGGGTGGATATAGTAGTTTTCCTAGTTTTTATGTATGACATTGCCATTTTCCGGCATCAAAATTTCACAATTTTTAACATTTTCTCACCTCCATGATGGGGATAGGCCTTTGTGGATATAGTAATTTTTGTTTTTTTTATGTATTTGCCATTTTCCTGCATCTAAAAGTCTCTAATTCTTAAAATTGTTTTACCTCAGCCTCAACCATGGTGGGCTGAAAAAATGGATTAAAATTTTCATAAATTTTAAGTATCCGAGTGCTGTTTTGGGGCATCTATAAAGTCTCAAATTCTGGCAATTGACTTATCTACGCCCCAAAACCATAGTGGGGCTCAGGAGGATATCGTAAATTTTGTACTATTCAAGTGCTTTTTTGTGCATCTAACGAGTCTCAACTTCTCAAAATGTTCTCACCTGAGCCCCAACCATAGTGGGGCTCAGTTGAATATGGTAGTTTTTAGAATAG